CACACACACACACACACACACACACAGACACACACAGTGCACAGACACAGACAGACACACACAGACACAGACAGACAGACACAGACAGACACACACACACACAGACAGACAGACACACACACAGAGACAGACACAGACACACACAGACACACACACACACACACACAGACACACACAGACAGACAGGCATAAACAACAGAGGGGAAAAAAGAGATAATGATACAACTATATTTACACGTATTGATGTCTACAGTGTATAAAAATGCATGTGTGTCCTTGCCAATAACAAAACAATGCTCGGCTTATACCTCAGCGTCTGTATGTATAATGATGATTAAACTGAGTATGTACGGGCGTCCACAGTGTGAAATAAACGTATATTTCTCCAGTACATAAATAAGCAATGAGGGAAATGGTCTGGGTATAATATCACTTTGCAGTCACACAGTCAGCCAACAGTACCAAACTCCCCGTCTGGTGACACAGCCAGGAGGGTGATGACTGCAACGGACTTCTCGGGTCTGTCGCAGAACAGCGCCAGGTGACCGATACCTTGTTTTAATAGTTTCTCCAAGACCGAAACAGACAATGTTCGCCGTTGCATTATTGCGTCACGTGACTGCAAAGTGTAAGGGGAAAGCAGTCTATCCTGAACGTATTGTACACACCCATGTGCATGTTAGAGCTGGGCGAGGAATCAATTCTTGAACCGATTCCTTCGATAAATGCTACGGAAGAAAAGTTCCGACTCCTTTTTACATAAACCAACGGTTACCAGTTACTATAATCTTTTAAATTTTCTTCTTTTCTTTTAGAATTTATTTTTCAAATATAAAAATTGATGCTTTGTAGTGTTCCGAAATCAAGGTTATCCTAAATCCTGAAGATGTTCGGAGCCAACCAGGTAACCACCGGAAGAAATCACATCCTTAGAGTGTAAGTAATTGGGTTCGGAGTCGATTCCTACGATTCCTAGCTAGAGAAGGGTTAGAGAAGAACAACATGACCGTGCAACTTTAAAAAACCAAACTTTCCCTCGGGCGCAGATTTTTCTCCGAAGATCTACGGTCACGGAAAAGCAAAAAAAGAAGATTTCAGGCAAAGGCAAAAGTGACTCGTCGTGCACAGACGTGGCCGGGTGTGGCTCCCCTGGAGAGAACGCTCTATGGCAGTCTATCAGATTTGAAGCGGAGTGCACAGTTTGTGCACGACACAGGACTGACTGTCTAGCTGCTGTCATCGAGAACGAGGAAGAAGAAGAAGAAGAAGGAGAAGGAG